CACCCCGGCCAGAGCCAGCCGGCATGCCCACGGTCTTGAGTTACCCAGAGCGAGAGGGGCCAGGTAGTGTTTCTGAGGGAAAAGGAGGTGCCCGCACCCCTGGGGGTTCCCTGGGGCAGCCTGGGATCGGAGGGATTGCACCTCCTGACTTCAAAGGGGCCCCAGACCCGCTGAAACCCACACCCATGCGCACCGAGGGGCCTTGCCAAGAGCCCAGGCGGGGGCGGGAACAAGAGACCCTGGGCACACCCGCTGCCCCATGCCTGCCCTGCCGTCCAGGCCCAGAGGCGGTTCGTCCAGCCCCTGCAGGGGCCGTGGGCAGAGAGTGGCCTTGGGTCCTGCAGACAGAACGTCTGGCCCCCGTCCTAGGGCCAAGTGAAGAGGGTGTCGGGTTGGCTGAGCTCTGCCCACAGGCTTGGCACCCCCAGGGAGGGGAAGGGGTGCCTGGGATGAGGACCACAGCGCAGAGCCACTGTGTCCAGCACAGGAGCACGGTCGCAAGCAGGCCGACTTCTCATCCCCTTGTTTCGCTGCGTGCTGTGTGGCACGTGGCTCCTGAAAGCAGCCACCATCTGCTATCTCACACGGTTTCCAAGGTCGGGAGTCCAGGAGTGGCTCCACAGAGCAGGCAGGCTCAGGGGCTACCCAATTTTGCCCTGGGAGGTTGGCAGGGGCTGCAGGCTCGTCTGGAGGCCCAACCGGGGCTGGAGGAGCCGCATCCAAGGTGGCAGCTCCCGTGGCTGTGGGCGGGAGACCTCAGTGCCTCATACATGGGCCTGTCCATGGGGCTGCTGAGCGTCCTGCAACGTGGCAGCAGCGGCCCCAAAGTGGGCGACTGACAGCGAGCAGGGTGGAATCCTAATGCCTCGTATCACCTAATTTCTAGAGCCGAACACCCTCCCTTCCCCCATATTCTGTGCTTTAGCCAGCCTCCATGCCCAGCCCACGTTAAAGGGGAGGGGATTGGGCTCCACCGTTTCGAGGGAGGCGAAATCAAGGATTTTGTGGCTGAATTTTATGCCCATCATCCTCATGATTTGACAGCTTCTCTCCAAATCACAGATGTACTTGCCCTTTGACCCCCCCCCATCTCTCCTTAGACTCTACCCTGCAGGCCTCACCTGCAGGCTGTTTGTCGCCCTACTGTTTATAGGGGTCATGGGGGGCTGCTGGATGCATAAGGAGCTGTCCCTTCATCCCGTGGAATATTCTGTAGCTGTGTGTGGGTGGAGAGAGGAGCAGACAGACGGACAGACAGGAATCTCTTTGTGGAGTCCCGTGGAATGATCTCTCTAAGACACAGTATTAAATGCAAAAGAGAAGTAGGGAGCAATGAGCGTAGCCGACTCTCCTTTGTTGTGATACTCGTATTTGCTGGTATTTGCATCGAGAAACTCTGGAAGGAGACACGAGAATCTGCCTCCAGTGCTCACCCAGCAGGACTGGGGCAGAGGGCCCACGGGGCCGGGCTCCGCATGAGGCTTTTCTCTGCAGACCTCGGAGCATCGTCTCGGGTTTGGGAACCACATGAATGTGTCCTCTATGCACACACTTCCTGGCAGAAGGAAATGTAAAATACTCCTCAAACCTGGGTGGGGGGGAGCAGGCGGCTGACCCCCAGCCCTGCAGGGACCCCCGGGCCCAGCCGCTTGAGCTCACCCATCTCGCCGCGACCCCGGTAGCAGCCCTGCTGGCTCTGCACGGCGCCAGGCAGGGGGCTCTTCTGGTGGGGAGGGGGGCTCTCCACCTCAGCCACACACCACATGGATCCTGACACGCTTTCCATTCTCTCGGCAGCCAAGACATCCTCCTTCCTCAGGAAATTGACCTGTACGGCGACCCAGCTGATGGCCTGACTCCCCAGGTACGTAGCCGGGGACAGCTGGCTGCAGTCAGGCCGCCCCTCGGGCCTTCCGGAGATTCCCTTGGCCCCGCCCCAAATCCCACCCCACCACACCCGGCCGGCTACAGCCCACTCTGCAGTAACGGGGCTGCCTGCTGCCTCCCCAAGAGACCCTCCCCCAGACCCCACCGTGGGGGGCTGGCCTCTGGCTTCAAACCACTGCCCTGGGCGTGGGAGGGGGTGTGGACGGCAGGGCATCGGCTCGCCAGCCCCTCATTCTGCGATGTCCTCCCTGCATCGCCCTGTGCCGGCAATGGAACAGTTAGGGTTTTAACCAGGGAAAATATGTGGGTTTGCACACGCTTTCTACTAGATGCCTTATGAAGAGGTATTGGCTTATTTCGCCCTCTGAGAAGGTTCTAGGTCACGGATGGAGAGACCAAAGCTAAGCAAGGCTGACAGCATGCCAAGGTGGGGCAGGGATCTGAGCCAGGGCCGCTGGGCCCACCGGCCCCCCACCACCTGCTCCCCCTGCCGGGGGCACAGCTTAAAGCCTGGATCTGTGGGGCCTTACCTGCCAGCCGCTGGAAATCTCTGGAAACCATGGGGAGGCCTAGGCCCGCCCCCTCCTCCGCACCAGTGTCCCAGGGACCAGCGGCTTGGGGGCTGGTGAGGTCAGAGGCCCTCACCCGTCCACACACCTGATCCCATGGGCTGTGAGGCCCTTTGCAGTTGAAGCCCTGGGCCTGGGTCTGGGGCGGCCTGAGTCCTGCCCTCGGGCTCTGGGAAGCTCAGGAGGGGAGGTCCCCCGGGCCAGAGCCCCTCCACTCCGAGTGGGGGCAGGGCTGGCTCCTGGGCCACCACCCTGGAAGTGGGGCCATGCTCTGGCTGCGGGGTGTCCCCGTCGTTGACGGCCAGGGGGCATACCTCAGGAGATGCCCTGGCCTGGGTCAGAGAGCACAGAGGCAGGGCCACCCTTGCCCAAGTGGGCTGCCTGCTCACCGCGGGCCCCACTCCACATCCTGCGGAGGCCACGCCGCCCTTTGTGACCTGACACAGCTCCCTCGGTCCCTTCCCAGGACACAGCACCCCTTCTACGTGTCCCCAAGCCGCTCTGCCCCTGCCTGTGTCCCAAGTGCCCCCAGGCTGCCCCCCCCCACCAGCAAACCACTGCCACCTTCCCCAGGATGCTCCCCCTGATGCCACGAGATGGCCGAGCAGCCCAGCCACCGCGTGCAGCCTCGGCCTCCGCAAAGGCAGCAGGATGCAGCCCATGCTCGGCCATAGCAGGAGTTACTACTGCTCACATCTAGTGACCACACTGAGCCATGTGGCCAAACCTGCTGGCAGGGGGACAGGCTGGGACGGTCCTTCCACAGGGAAGGTAGAATCTTGAGTAATAATTCCATCTACCTCCCCAGAGCCCCAGAGAGAGCCTTCTGAGCAGAGCTTGGGGTGCTGGCCTTCATAGTGATGCGTGTGCCCCAAAGGAGGTGGGCTGTGGGGCCAGAGGCTTCTGCTCCCCCTTAAAAACCCTCATAGTTTGCCCGGGTCACCCTGCTCCAAGGCAGTGCCACAGCCTGGGGGGCCCGCAGACCCCAGGCAGCTTCGGGAAGCCCCTGCACAGAGGGGACACTGGGGCTCGGGGAGGTGCCAGCCCTCCCTGGGGAGCGCCCCCGTGTACCAGGCACTGAGCCAGCTTATGTGACTGTTGAACCTTAGGGCCACCCAGTGGGGCTGTCACCGTGAACCATCCCTACAAGGTCAAGGGTGTGGGAGCTGACCTTCCCCCAGCTGTGAGAGCCTCTGTGTGCAGGACCCCAGACCCGGGCAAGACCCCAGACCCGGGGCCCGGGCTCTGCAGAAACACAACTAGTCAGCAAACCACACCAACAGCACACATTCTTCGAGGGGCCCGTTCTGCTCTTGGCGCACAGCCACCAATGTCTTCTGCACCAGCCGGGGGCTCCACCGAGACCCCCATGTCCCAGGGGCAGGGACACTGAGGGCCTTGCCGCCAGTCACATGGCAGGTCAGTGGCCGAGCTGGGAACATCCAGGAAGGCCCTGCCCCCTCCCCAGGCCACACCGCTCTGGAGCTCAGGGAGCTCTGCCGGGGTCCTGGCCCTGAGCACGTGTGTGGACCGTGTGCGGCGCCGCCCAGCCTGGAGATGGGGCCATGTGGGGATCCCAGGGACCCAGTGCCCCCCACCAGCACCGAGGCCCCTGTCTCCACTCCTCACCCATCACCCAGGGCTCGTGGTACCGGTTCTGGCCTCCTGAGCCAGTGCAAGAACAGAAGGACCTGACAGAAAGTGCTCAGTGCCCCAGCCCACAGCGGAGCTCGGAAGGAGCACAGTACTGCTCTTACCATCACAGATTCGTTTGACAAACGTCAGCCTTTGCCGTAAGGTCTCCCAGTCCCAGAGGGAAAGGGGAGTGGACGGGCCCCAGGCAGCACGCCGGAGGAGTGGGTGAGGCTGCTGCTTAGGAGGGTGATGGGGTGTGGGGGGACCTCTGGGGGTGGGGGCGGCGCCCTCCTAGGAGACTGAGGGGTGCTTGTGCCCCAAATCAGGCACGACACCCCTCCTCAGTGGGGCAGCCCCTGGGCAGGTCTCCACGTACAGGAAGGGGGCACCAGCGGAGCCTGCCACAGCCTGGAAATGCACGTGCAGGCCCCACCCTCCGGGGGCTGACCGGAGGGTCCCCCAGGCAGGGCCAGCCACGCCAGGGACAGACTCTACAAGCGCAGCCTCACCTCCTCAGTTCCCACAGCTCTGGGCAGGCGAAGGCGGCCCCGTCCTCCTTCCTGGGCTGTTCCCCGGTCCCCCCAGGTTTCTCTCAGGCCACGCCGATGGCCCCCGCCATGGGGGCTCTGCAGGTCAGGGGGCTTGTGTGTCACATGGGGCCCTTGGGCCCTTCCACTCGTGGCCTGGCCAGGACCTAGCAGGGCTGGTTTGAGGGCGGCCAGGGGTCTTCTCAGACCCCCTCTGCCCCAAAGGGAAGCCTCCCCTGAGGGCAGGGGCTCCTGTGCAGCCCCCAGAGCACGCCCCTCACCCTGTGCTTTCCTTGCAGGCTCCATTCAGGACCATGAGAACAGGCTTCTCCAGGGGCCCCCTCGGACCACCACGTCCTCCCAGCGCCCAGAAGGAGGGGCCATGCCTGGGGAGCAGCCCCGCCGAGCACCGCCCCCAACCATGACTCGAGACCTGCAGCCCTGCCAAAGAGCGGGTGGCACGGGGGGCCCTGCCCAGCCCCCCGGTGAGGACGGTGCCCCAGCCAGCAGGACCGCCAAGGCCACGGGCAGCAGGGCCCAGGCAGTGGAGCCTCCAGAATCCCAGCCGTGGCAGGCCGGGGAGGTGGAGCCCAAGGCCCCGCTCCTGAGAACCCAGTCCCTGAGCAGCCCCCCGGGGAAGGGAGGCAGCCCCCAGGCCCCACTGGGGAGGAGCCACGCGCAGGCACTCACGCAGCAGGCCAGCAGGGCAGACGGCAGCCCCCAGCAGCTCTATAATCTGAACATCTCCGGCTCGAGGGCCAGACCCACCCTGGACAAGACTCCTGAGCGCCCACAGGGCGAGGACCCCGGGCCCCCAGAGGCGAAGGCCCCACCCACCCCAGAAGAGCTCAGTTTCCAAAGGTGCTTCCAGGAGACCCCCTCCAGCTTTACCTCCACCGACTATACCTCACCAAATGCCACCTCTGGGCCCCCACCCCTCAGGGCCCCCCCGGGCAGCAGGCCAGCCTCCTACTCGGGATTCCAGGCCGGCGGGGCTGACGGCTGGCCTCCCACTGTTGAGAACAGCTTCCCAGGTGCTAGATTCGAGGTCCCTGCGGCCAAGCCGGAGCCCTTTCCCGAAGGGGACGGCCCCAGGGCGGCCTCCTTCCAGTACCCCTTCCAGGCACTGCATGGGCCCGGCCCGAAACCGTTCCCCGAGGACACAGTCCCGCCCGAGTACGGGGAGAGAGCGCTGGTATTTGCCTTCCGCCAGCCCAGGGGAGCATGGCCAGAGGAAGCAGTGGGCACAGGCACGGCCTACCCCCTGCCCGCCCAGCCCGCTCCCCAACCCCCAGCCTGCTACCCTGGCCGGCCCGGCCTTGACCCCCCCAGTGACCTCGGCTGTGCTCACCCACAACCTGGTGCTGCTCCCCCAGCCCCCAGCCCCTTCTCGGAGAGCACAGCCACCTTTCCGGACACTTTGCACAAGAGCCTGACCAAAGCCCTCCCTGAGAGACCGCCTTCGGCCCACGACGACAGGCTGGGAAGCCCCAGGGCGCCCCCAAACTCTCTGTCACAGAGGCACTTTCCTGGGCAGACCTATGGCAGTCCTGGGGCCAGTGGAGTGGGGACCAGCCCACGGTCTCTGGACACGGAGCTGGCCACCCCAGGGCCCCTGCCTACCAGACTGCCCCAGCTGTGGGACCCTGCTGCAACCCCTTACCCCACACCTTCCCTGGGCCCCCCAGCCACCACCAGGAACGCCTTCTTTGAAGGCCAGGCCAGCCTAGGCCTGCGCCTTGGCCTCCCCCGGAGCCCCCCACTGCCCTGGCCGCAGGTGCTTCCAGCTACCGGGCCCAGCCCCCACCGCATGGAGGTGTTGAGCCAGCTGCCTTTCCCCGCAGGGGCCCCCGAGTGGCAGGGGGGCGGCCAGGGAGCCCTGGGTGCTGCCGGCAAGACTCCGGGGCCCGGGGAGAAGGTGGCTGTTCTGAGAAACAGCCCGGGCCGGCACGGTGGCGGATCCCCGGGCCTGTTTGCCTACAACGGGCTGAAGGACCCCGGAGCCCAGCCCCTGTTCTTTGGGGTGGCCCAATCCCAGGTCTCACCCCGGGCGACCCCCGGCCTGCCCCCGCCCAGAGTGGTGGGTGCCTCTCCCTGCGAGTCCCCGCTGCCCTCACCTGCCACCAACACAGCCAGCAACAGCTCCTGCTCTTCACTGTCACCACTGTCTGGCAGCCCAGCCAACCCCAGCTCGGAGGAGAGCCAGGCCCCCGGCCCACGCGGGCCCTCCACCTTCTTCCACGGCCCCGCTCGCCCCCCGGAGACCAGCAGCCCCTACCCATCCCCCGAGCCCCCACACGCCGTCCCCATGCACTACCAGCCGGAGCCCGCCGGAGCCTTTCCTTTCCCTGCCGCAGAGGGACTGGGGGCCGAGGGCACCTTCAAATGCCTGGAGGAGGCCCCCTTCGCGGGTTCAGGCCCCGAGGTGGGCAGCGACAGCGGGCTGGAGGGCTTCCCCCGGGAGCCACCCCCCTACCCCGCCCACCACTTCCCCCTGAGCAGCGCCAGCCTGGACCAGCTGGACGTGTTGCTCACCTGCAGGCAGTGCGACCAGAACTACAGCAGTCTGGCCGCCTTCCTGGGTCACCGGCAGTTCTGCCGCGCGCTCCTGGCCAGGGCCAAGGATGGCCTCCCGCAGCCCCCAGGCCTCCCCGGCCCCCCCGCCACCCCCAAAGCCCCAGCTGGTGGGAACCCCAGCCTGCTCAGCCACCCCAAGACGGGCCCCTTCCTGCTAGGTGGGGACCTCCGGGCTGACAGCAAAGAGGACCCCCTGAGGACCAGCTTCCTGCCCGGCCTGGCCGCAGCCCCCTTCCCCCTCCCCGCCGCGGACCTGGACCCCGAGGACGACGCCAAGCTGGACAGCCTCATCACCGAGGCGCTCAACGGCCTGGGGTACCAGTCGGACAACCCCGAGATCGACAGCAGCTTTATCGACGTCTTCACGGACGAGGAGCCTTCCGGCCCCAGAGGTGCTGGTGCCGGGCAGCCCCCCAAGACCAGGGTGGGGACAATGCCGGAGAACAAAGCCCAGCCCCCACTCCCGGGCGAGGCCGCCCTGCAGGAACCCCAGGTCCCCCGCCCTGGGAACACAGGCTGCCCGGCCCGCAGCCGGCCCAAAACCCGCTCCCTGGGCCCAGCGCCCACAGAGGCAGACGGGGCTGGCCTGGCCAGCCAGCAGAGGAGAGGGAAGCGGTTTAAGTTGTTGCAAAAAGATCTGGACACCTCCGGCTCCACCAAGAGCCGGAAGGGCCCCCGAGCCGCTTGCCTGAGGCCAAGGAGGAAAGGCCCCGGGGCTGAGGCCCCCCTGCCCCGCCCCCGGGACCTCAGGACCCCGGCCGCCAGGAGCCTCGCAGCTCCTGCCAGACAGGCCCTCCCGGTGGAGACCAGGAGCTCACAGCGCCTCCGCCTGTCCCCGGGGCAGGACTCCAGGAGGAGGAGGCTGCGCGGCGGCACCTGGAGCAAGGAGCTCATCCACAAGATCGTTCAGCAGAAGAACAAGCACCACAGGCGGCCGGGGCAGCGCCTCCCCCTGGGACCCTCAAGGCTGGCACCCAGCAGCACGGAGCAGGGGCTCCCAGAGCTCACCTGTGCCTCCGAGTCAGAGGAGGAGGACTGCTCGCGGCCACACCCGCACGGCCCCCACCTCCGAGGCCGACCCCGTCAGGGCTGCCGGCGGTGGCGCGGAGGCATGAAGCGGAAGGAAGTGGACGTGACCCCGGGCCCCAGGGAGGATGGGGGGCTGCAGAAACCCAGGATGGTCGTGAGGCAGGAAGCCACCCAGGTCGGGGGCTCCCCCAGCCCTGAGGAGAGAGCCCCCAAGCATCTTCTGCAGGTTCCTGCCAGCACCAAGACCCCAGAGGAGAACCGTCTGGCACTAGACTTCCCCAGGGAGACCAAGCACCCCGGAACTGCTAAGGAGCTCCCCCCAGATGCCACAGAACTCCCCAGAGAGGCTCCGAGCTCTTCCCCAGCCTCCCGTGGAGGGGGGAGCCCCCACCCCCCAGCCCCAGAGCCGCAGGAGCCGGGCAGAGAGGACCCCCGGGTGTCCCACAGAAGTCTGCCAAGCGCTGCCCAGGGCACAGAGCCACCCCCCTCCCGGGACACAGAGGACCCCCCTGCCTACCCACCAGGAGAGCTGCTGGTGCCGGTCGCTCATGCCGCTGACACCGCCTACCTTGAATCGGGTGCCCTCTTTTTGAAGACCCCTGATCTTGGCTGCAGCCCTGCTCTTCTTAACAGAGACCCTGTGGGGGTTCCACTTGCCAAAAAGGGGCCCCAGCCCTACAGCAGCCCCCCTAGCAAATTGTTCCTCGGACCCAAAGACCTGCCTGGCTGTCTCCAAGAAGACCTCTACTCCAAGCCCTTAGCGCCAGATGCTCCGCCGGCCGGCAGCACGCACCTGCCCCAGGACGGTGTGGACGCCAGTGCCCTCAAGCCAAAACCACCCAGGAGTCTACCCTACGCCACCCACGGGGGTCCCAGCAAAGCCGAATCACCGCTGACTTTGGAGTCCACACCACTCTTCCCAGGGCTGCCTGTGGGCAGATTTGACCCGCCCGCCTACAGCAGCCTGTCTGGAAGCAGAGACACCCACTCCCTGTTGGTGTGCGCAGACCCTCCCCCAAGGAGACCCCAGTTAGAGCTGCCATACTCCCCGCTTCTGCCCGACAAGGGCTGGTCCCTGCTGGAGGAGTCCCCAGTGCTGGCCAGCCACATGGGTCATCTTCCTGACCTCCTGGGGGAAAAGGCGTTCAGTAGGAGGTGCCCCGGGGAAGGGGCAGTGGCCGCCAGCCCTCCACTTCTGCCTGGCAAGCTCAGCGAATGTGGCCTTGCTTTTATGGGCAACCTGTCCGAAGATGAATTAGAAATCAAAAGACTGGTCGCCGAATTAGAGAGTCAGCTGCAGAGTAAAGGGGTGCCTGAGGCCCCAGAACTGCTGTGCACGGCTGGGCAGGCAAGCAGGACGCACGCGGGCATAGGGGCTCCTCTGCCCACCCGCCAGGCCGCCTTGCCCCCCAGGGACACCTTCTCCGAGGCCAACCTCACCGGCCTTGGGGAGTTGACTCCATGCCCAGAAGGGGCAGAAACAGCAGTGGCCACCAGGGAAGGGGGGCCGGGGAGCGCCCAGGAGGAGTGGCCCTCCCCCGACCCAGGAGAAGCAGCCCTTTCCCCCCCTGCACGTGCAGAAGGGGCGTCTGGGGCTCCCAGAACCATCAGTGGGGCCGACCGCAACTTCCGAGCAGTACAGAGAGCCAGAGTCTCGGAAACAGGGCCCCCGAAGCCCGAAGGGGACTGCGGGGTCCACGCGGAAGTCTCTCTGCCCGGCTCTGGAGAGCTGTTCAAGCCTCCACTGGATGTGAGGAGCTTAGCCAAATGCAGCCCAAGCTGTGAGCCATTACATCCAAAAAATAACAGGGCTGGCAAGATGCACCCAAGCCACGCTCTGCTGCTCCCTCCCTGCTCACAGGCAGGTGGGCCCTGCCAAGAGCCCCCTGAGCGGGAAGCGTTTCGCAACCCACTCACCCATCTGGCACCCGGCTTGGTGCCTCAGGGGGCCACCCCGTCTTGTGGTGTCAGTCATAGCGATGCCCCCAAAGGATACTCTGTAAGCAGGGCAGGCCAGCCAGAAGGAGCAGGCCTCCCCCATGCTGGGGCGGGGGGCCCTGGCCTTAAGGGTAATGAGGAGTCTGTAGCCGTGGGGGCCTCCCCAAGTCCTGCCTGCGTGCCCAACAGCAGTCCTGGCAGGAGGCCCCAGGACCCAGCCACGAGCCCCCTCCGTCAGCTGCAGCTCCTGGTGGCCAGAGCGGCTGGGAAGGAAGAAGACGCCTTGGCCTCACAGGGGCCCCCACCTGCTGGCACCCAGAGCCCTCGGCGCAGTGAGCCCTCAGATCTGGAAGGGGACAGCGTGGAAGGTGGGAACGTCCCCGCAGCGGCCAGATGTCAGTTGGGGCCTGAGGCTGATGGACATCTGAACTCCCTCGGCCAGGCTGAGAAGCCTGAGGACCGAGACAGAGCCAGCAGACTGCAGCCAGATAAGTGGGGGAGTCCAGTGGGGCTGGACAACCTCCTCACAGTCAGTGCCGATGCTGAGACCGCCCTGGCCAGGTTGGCCAGGGATGCGCACCAGCTAGGGGGACAGCTCCAGGGAAACGGCCTGGTCTTGGGCCTTCAAAAAGAGGCCTGGGCCACCCCAAGCCTTTCCTCGTCTAATGCAGAATCTTCGGTACCGGCCTTGGTAGCAGCCCACGTCCAAAATGGGCCTGAAGCCCGGACTTCAGAGGAGGCGGCCAGCCCAGGCCTTGAGAAGCAGCGGCTGCTCGCTGGAGACAGCCCTGCCCCCCCCATCAGGGACCTGACCACCTGTGTCCCCTTGCCTGCTTCTGCAGCCACCTCCATTCCCTCTGGCCTGGAGCCCCTGCCCCAGGAAGACCCTCCTACGGGACCTTCGGGTGGGCTGAGGGGGCTGCTCCCAGCCCCTCCATCCTGCGGGGATCCCGCCAGCCCACAGCTCCTCCCAGGCCCTTCTCCTGCCCGGCCCGCTCCGCAAAGGGCTGACGGCACCCCAGCCAGCACAGATGCTGGGGCTGGACCACCTGCAGCATCTCCCCCATCTTTGAGGACAAGCCCCCGTGGCTTCAAGGAAAGCCTGGCTCACCAGCCCCTCCTGGGGAACCACAGCCCCCTGCAGGACCCTCCCTCGGGCCAGCCTGGCTTCATCAGTGTCTTCACTCCTGCCCAGGGGGAGGACCGCCCTGAAGGCAGCATGTCAGGACCGCTAGAGAGTTCCAGGAAGGAGAAGCCCAGGAGCTGTCCTGCCTCTGTCGCCCGTTCTCCCCCCGTGAGGCCCACCTCCCCGAGAGGGACCATGAACGCCCCCGCCCTGCCCGACGTTCTCACCACAGATGGCATGGGGGCCGTCAGAGGCCCCGGGGTCAGCCATCCAGACCGCCACGGTGGGGGAGCCCCACCCCACGCCAGCCCCAGCGGGATGCCCACAGGCCCCACCTCCCCAGACCCCCCAAGCAACAGGGAAGGCCAGGGTGTCACCACTGTGCCCGCTGAACCTTCCACACGGGGGCCCACGGGGCCAGACTCCTGGGCCTGCCAGGAAGACAAGGCGGGGGCTGGCCGCTCTGGAGCCATGACAGCCCCTGGAGCTGACACCACAGACCCCGCCCTCACCTGCCCGTCCACGGAGCTCCGCCGGGGCAGAACCACGTCTCCCAGCAGCACAGCCCGGGACTCCAGACCCAGCTCCTCCCAGAGTGTCAGAACTGTTCACCGCACACCCCAGAGGGACCCCCTCAGTCCGCAGGGTACCAGACAGAAGCCTGTGTCCACAGACATTGCCCCCCGGGAGGACCGGGCCCCCGGCAGGCGGCCCACAACCTGTGAGGTGTGCGCAGCCTCCTTCCGCTCCGGGCCGGGCCTGAGCCGCCACAGAGCCAGGAAGCACGGGCTGCACAAGGGCCCCCCCCGCCCCGCCCGGCCCCCGGCGCCAGGCGTGCCAGCCCCCCAGGAAGGAAAGCCTCAGGGCACCTGGGAAGGAGAAGCCAAGGCAGGCGCAGAGCGGTGCCGGCCGTGCCAGTGGGCCGCGTCCTGACCGGGGTGCAGAGGCTCCTGAGGACGCGTCAGGCCCTCAGAGGGCCAGGGGACTCGGTGCGGGGCACACCCTAGGCTGCTCCCCCAGCCGGGAACCACACCCCCCAGGCCCGGGTGAGCCGGGAGTGGACATGAGGCCTGCAGAGCCCAGGAAGCAGGGCCGGCTGGTGAGGGACAAGCGCTGTCCCAAACAGGCAGACAAAAGAGGCGTCCAGCAGCGGGGCCAGGCACCCGAGGACGTCTCCAGCAAGTCAGAGGGGAAGTCGCAGGAGAAGGGCAGAAATCCCAGAGCAAGAAGGTTCCGGGAGGCGAGGAGTCCTCCAGTCTGTCCAGGTGTGATTTCAGACAGAAGCCGCTGGGGTCCATCCACCACAACCGCCAGTCCCCCGGGGCCTCCAGGTGGCCCCCTCTCAGCGCGGGCCCAGCCGGACGCTGACGCCTCCTGGCCCTCGGTGACGGAGAACACAGTGGACACAGACCCAGAGGAGACGCCAGCACAGAGGTCACCCGGGGATTGGGTGGCCCGTGAGGAGGGGATGGAGTGGGCGCCTCCTGGGGACGGGCCGGGGGGACAGAAAACAGCCGTGGCCAGGGGGTGCTGGGGTCCCAGGGAGGCTGGAACATCGGATGTCTACAAAGAGCTGTCGTGGGCAGCCGGGACTGAGCCTGCAGGGGACCGCAGAGCAGCGGAGAGCGGGTCAGGGCAAGGAGTCAGGGAGGGGCACGGACCCCCCACAAGCCCCCCCGGCCCTCGGGAGACTGGCAGCTGCCCCCTGAGCCCCCTGCACAACCCAGAAGTGCAGGTCGGGGTCCAGGAGCGTGCGGGCACCGCTCCCGAAGCCCACAGCCCGGGTCTCGGGGACCCTCTGAGCGTGTTTGATGATGACGCCTCCTTTTCGCAGCTCTTCCCTCTGGGCGACCGCTTGACTCGGAAGAAGAACCCCCGTGTTTACGGCAAGCGCTGTAAAAAGCCGAGGGCCCCGCCCCCGCTGGAACCCCATAGCGAGATGGGGGGCAGCATCGTGCTGGCCTCCACCCGCCTGCCCACAGACCTCAGCGACTCGGGGTCACTCTGCCTCTCCCACGAGGACCCGTGGGGTGACGAGGCCATAGGTCTGCCAGAGTCCTTCCTGCTGGAGGGCTTCCTGAGCAGCAAGGTGCCCGGCATTGACCCCTGGGCCCCCAGCCCCAGCCTGTGGGCCCTGGAGGCCGACCCAGAGGTGGACTGTGCAGAGGACGTGCCCCCCCGCCACGCGGAGGACCGCCGGTCAGAGAACATTCCCGAGCTGCACATGGTCCCGGCCTCTTGGAGAGACCTGGACCTGCAGGCCCCCGCCGAAGGGATGGCCTCTTCCCTAGGAGACAAGAGCCCGGAGCCCCCCAACCTGGAGCAAGAATACGACAGCGGGCTTCCCGGGAGCGCCGTGGCCCTTGAGATGCTCAGCGCCAAACTGGAGGTGCGAGACCTGTGCTTCCTGGCGCCCTGTGACGACCACGTGGGTGTCCTCAGCACGAGCTCTCTGGACTTCGGGGCCACGGTGGGCCCCCAGGAGCCGCAGAGCCCAAGGCCGGCAGGTGCAGCCGGGGCACGAGGGGCGCCGGGCAGGGAGCGGCACGCCAAGGCCAGGAGGGCACCCTACAAGTGCAAGGTGTGCTTCCAGCGCTTCGGCGGCCTGGGCGAGCTGGACCTCCACAAGCTGGCTCACAGCCCCGCGCCACCTCCCACCTGCTACATGTGTGTGGAGCGCAGGTTCGGCTCCCGCGAGTTGCTGCGGGAGCACTTGCAGGAGAAGCACGTGCAGAGCAAGGCAGGGCGCTGGGCCTGCGGCATGTGCCTGAGGGAGGTCGCCGACGTCTGGATGTACAATGAGCATCTGCGGGAGCACGCCCTGCGGTTCGCCCGCAAGGGGCAGGCGCGAAGGTCCCTCGGGGACTGGAAGGGGGGCCAAAGTGTCGCTCGCTTCCTGGGCAGCATCACGGGACAGGCGTCCAGACCCAGTGGGGGCAAACGCTCGACAGGCAAGTCCAACGGGGGCCCCGCAGAGGCGTCGGGGAGACAGCCAGGGGCCGGGAAGGAATTCCAGAGGGAGAGGGTGAAACCCCAGGCTCCTGCCCACGACTCGGCAGATGGGGCTTTGGCCGACAGCAGCCCCACGGCCTGCGGGAACCCCAGTCTTCCCAGCGGCTCCGGCAAGACGTCCCCCAGCCTGTCCCCTGAGCCCTGCTCCGGCAGCGAGCCGCTCCTGCAAGCCCTCCCCGTGCACCAGGGCTGCAAAGACCCGTCCCGGGACTGCCACCACTGCGGAAAGCGGTTCCCCAAACCCTTCAAGCTGCAGCGCCACCTGGCGGTGCACAGCCCTCAGCGCGTCTACCTGTGCCCCCAGTGCCCGCGCGTCTACCCGGAGCACCAGGCGCTGCGCGCGCACCTGGGCGGGGCGCACGGGGTGCGGGGGGAGTTGGAGCTGCCGCACACCCCGCTCTACGCCTGTGAGCTCTGTGCCGACGTCACGCACATCAGCAAGCGCTCCTTCGTCTGCAGCTCCTGCAACTACACCTTCGCCAAGAAGGAGCAGTTTGACCGCCACATGGACAAACACCTGAGGGGCGGGCAGCAGCCCTTCACGTTCCGCGGCGTGCGGCGGCCTGGCGCCCCCGGCCAGAAGGCGCCGGCCCGCGAGGGCACCCTGCCCAGCAAACGGCGCAGGGTGGCCGTGCCCGGCGCCAACGGGCCTCTGTCCTGGGGCCGCAGCCACCCCCAGAGCGAGGGGTCACTTGCAGCCCTGCTCCAGCCCTGCCCAGAGGCAGCTCCTGGCACCACCAAGGGGCAGCCCAGGACCCCGGAGAGGCCTGTAGAGCCCGTGGGCCACCCGGTCACAGGGGGTGACGTGCCCTCTGACCTCCAGGAACTGCCGCCCCCAGCTCTGTCTCCTTTCCCGGTGGCCTCCGCTGATGGCCAAGGTGGCCACAAGCCGGATGGGGCCCCGGGGAGGTCGGAAGGTGAGGCTTCTCCAGGCAGCCCTGGGCCTCTTCTCCAGCAGGCTCTCCCGCTGGGGGGCTCTGTGCCCCAGCCGGGGGCCAGAGGCCAAGATGTAGAGGAAAAGAGGGCTACTGGCCCATTCTCAGGGAAACGCAGGACCCCGAGTGCCCCTGACCATTGCCTGGAAGCCCCCTCCCTGCTCCAGAAGGAGAAGCAGCTGTCCACAGGCCACACGGTGCCTGAGGGGGGCACAGGGGGGCCCTCCCACAAGGGCAGTGCCGTCAAGCCTTGGGGCTGCCGGAGTTCATCAAAGGACAGGTCAGCCTTGCCCACCCCCAGCAAAGCTCCCAGGTTCCCGGTGCAACCGAAGAAGGTCGCGGCCAGTCCGACACCCAGAGAGCTAGCCCATGGCACTGAGGACAGGCCAAAGTCCACCACCCTCAAAGCCAAGCCGAGCCCCAACTCCCAGGGTGGTGGAGGCCCACGGCACAGCACCAAGACAGCAGGGGGCAGCCAGCCCCAGCCAGCCAGCGGGCAGCTCCAGAGTGAGACAGCCACCACCCCAGCCAAGCCCAACTGCCCAGGCCAGGGCCCCGCCTCAGACAAGCACCCTCCTCGAGCCAAGGGCTCTCCCAAGGGGCCAAGGGAAGCTGGTGACCAGGGGCCCCGAGGGAGCCCGGGCACCAGGGCGGACGGGGAGGTCAGCGAGAAGAAAAGGAAGGGCCGGGCCCCGGGGCCAAGCAGGAGTGAGAGTGTGGGGAGCTTGGGGAGAGCCCGCTTGGTCCCTGAAAAGCCGCCCCGGGCCCCCCGAAAGCAGGCGACACCCAGCCGTGTGCTCCCCACCAAGGCCAGGCCCAGTAGCCAGAACAGCACGGTACCACCCCAGCCCTCGGAGCAAGGGCAGGCGGGCCCCAGACACACCCTCGGGGACTGCAGACGCAGCAAGGAGGGGCAGGGCAAGGCCTGCCCCCAGGGGAGGCCCCTGCACAGACCCCCCAAGAGGGACAGAGCTGTCCATGGTGCTGAACCTGCCGACCCCCGTGCCTGCAGGACCGCCGCGTCCCAGAACGACCTCCTCAGCCAGCTCTTTGGGCAGCGACTGACCAGCTTCAAGATCCCGTTAAAGAAGGACCCCCCCGAGTAATTTATGGCCGCGAGTGAGTACCTGGGAGCAGAGCTGGAGCAGCCCGGCACGCGGGGGCTCCTGTCTATGCTGACGAGCCCCAGTCCTCTGAGGGTGTTGGACGGGGGCCACATGGCGATCCGCCTGACTTACGCAAGCGCTCGGAGTCTGGCGTTAGGGCTGAGACTACGATACTTTGAGCAGGGCCTGGGGTGGGCAGCAGTCCCTTTCTAGATGGAAGGTGAGGTTGAGCCCCTTGGAGACCACGCAGCTCTTTTCTCGGTACCAAGAACTCGAAGAGCGAGCCGACCCCGCCCGTGTGCCCCATTGCCCAGGCGCAGGAGGCCACAGACGCCTCATCTGAAGGTTTGCACGGGGCTCCCCACCCCCCCCCGTCATCTAGTGGGGAAGTGAGTCGAGGCCACCTGCGCTCAGGTGGCAGCAGGCTCCCCTTAGTCTTCTTGCTGCTGTTGCTGGAATGGCCGCCTGCGGGGGCAGGGCCATCCCCTGCAAGAGCTGTTTGTGGGCCCCCAGGGCGCACCTGGCTTCTCTGACCGCGGGGTGGTGGCAGCCGCTGTCTGGGCTGCTGACAGAAACGCCGGTCTCTGGTGCACCTTGCCCCCTGGGGACTGGGTTCCCGTTGGGAACGTGGAGAAAGCTGCTCACCAGCCGGCTCCCGCCGTCACCGGGTCTCCATCCCCAGTCCCCTGGCCTCCGCCGATGCCCTTTCTAGAGCCTTCCTCCTCACAAGGAGCTCTCCGCTGCAAGTATCAGCAATTTTACTCTGAATTTCTGGTGCTATTTCATGTTGTAATGTGAATTCAGGCTTCCTTGGTGCGTTTCACCTGGGGGATTGGGCGGGGGGACCAGCTGGGGAGGCGCACGATGGCCCACGGACACCGGCGGCCCCGACAAGTCTTTCACTGGCTCCCCCGCTGCCGGCAGGCTCCAGCCCACCGGGGGTCGCGGTCCGCAGTCGGAGCAGCCAAGTGGGACACTGTGGGCCGGGGCGTGGTGCCGCGGCCCAGTCAGGGAGGCAACTCATGCACTGACATGACCCAGGGGTTGGCGCGCATGTCCTGTTGACGGAATCGTGTCTTCAAAGGGGGCAGGAGGGTAGGAGAGGCTTCCTTCTGTTCTTAGGTATCTCTGAGGTTCGTGGTTTGTGTCGTTCTGTTTTTGTTTTTTGTTTTTTTTTTTTTTTTTGTTTTTTTCTTTTTTACCTTGGGTGCAACATGTGTGTCAAAAGTTTTTATTTTGATTTTTTGAAAGAGACCAAATTGGGCCCAAATTGCCTTTCTCGAAGGTGCTGTGTGCACTCAGAACGCCTTTAGTGCTGATGAATAAAACACGGGGACTCTGAGGTTGTACTGTGCGAATCATAGTGAACTCATCCTGTCAAATATATCCTCACTATTTTCACAGAGACCCTCTGGCTGTGGCATCTGTCCTCCGGCCGCCCCCCGCTCACCACCTGCCCCACACAAGCCCAGGGCCTGGCTCATAGAGCATCGGCTTCAGCGGACGCTTCCGTCCCTACAAAGCCGCGCCCGAGCGGCCAAGCGCCCTGGGCTCGTGGACATGGCTGGGGCCCCTGGGGGATCAGAGTAAAGTGTTGGGAAATCATCAGCAAGGCTCAGTTTGGGGGCCCCGGGACAGCAGCAGAGGCAGTACGAAGGGTCAAAGCGGGAGACACCACCCCACCGCAGGCTCAGACCCCGGGGCCCACCGTGTCCTCAAGACAACCCTCAAAGACCCCAGCGTCTGCAACAAGTGCCTGGAGAGCAAGCAGGGCCGTCCAGAGTCAAGCACCCATCCCGTCCTGCCCCTGACCCGGGGCACGAGGGGCACTCAGAGCAGGCCCCCACAATATGTGTGGGGGAGGGGAGGGGAGCCACAGAGAGGGGGGCCTACACGTGGAGCCGTACCTGGGATCCCAGCACTTCTGCCCAAGCCCACGGGGCCCCCACCCACTCCTGCTCACCTTCCTTGGTCAGGAACACCCTTCCCAGGTGCTCCTGTTCAGTCCAAGCCCCTCCCAGCCATGCAACCCCCCGCCCCGGGGGCCCGGGCCACCCTCTCACATGGACCTGCCTACTGTGTGCTGCCCTTGGGGGCTGCCAGACAGGTTCTGTGGTGAGCTGGGGTCTTTGGTCTCCTCGGGGGTCTCTGTAGCAGGGCCTCAGAGAGGGGGGGCACAAAGGGGCTCAGGGTTGGAATTTGGGGTTAGGGTGGGGTGAGTCTGAGCTGTGTTGGCAACAGCCATCTGGTGATTTGGGGATGCAGACCCCTGGGGCCCGGTGGGGTCCGCAGCACTGGGCGCCTCTGTTCAACTCCCCAAACCTGGGGCAGCCGGGGACCATCCCAGTCCCAGGGAACGGGAGGGAAATTCCAGGCTCCACCCCAGATTGCAAATCCGACTCCGACGCAGCCGGCGCCCGCCTGGCCGGCAGGTGGCAGCATTGGCCCAACTCCATGGCTCGGGCAGCTCAGCTGCCAAGGCCCTGCAACCGGCACAGGGGCGCCCTGACCTCATCGACAGGCTCAGAGACACACGCTTACTGCACAGCTTCACCCACACCGACACCGGGGCCCACAGACCCACACACGGACAAACACCACCTCACCCCGACTTGCTGCAAGGTGAGTGACACAGGTGCATCCGGTGTGGGGAACCTGGCCTTCCAGAGGGCCCCGTGCGTGCGCCCCAGAGCACCCCGTTTGATTCACAGGACAGGGCTGGACAAAGACGAGGGGGTTGGGTCGGGGGCAGCCCAGGCACAGGCCCCATACAGGGACCGCAGCTCCCTGAGCCCCCGAGGGCCTGGCTCGTCCCCTCTAGGAAGCCAGCATGCCTGCTGGCCCCACGACTGCAGGTCCCTCTGGGAGCTGCCCCAAGGCAGGCAGGATGGGCAAGGGGACACCAAATGTTAGCAACAAGGTCACATAAGTGGCTGTATTTTTCAGTTGCATCCTATACTAGGCTGAAAGCCCGACCCCAATGACCCCTTGGCCCCACCAGCCCAGAGACAGGGTGTAGGAGAGATGGTTCCTGGGACCAGGTGAGGGAGTGCAGGTGCAGGGACGGGACGGGCGAGCCCCCGGATGTGGGGGGTCGGGGCACTGCCCGTGGACCGGCCACCGGAGGGAGGGAAGCTGGTGGTAGGAGCAGGCAGGCCCACCTCCTCCCCCGGCCCCATTTCTCTACCGGTCCAGTGGGTAGGCAGCAGGCAGCTCATTTCCTGGGAATGTGCCCTCAGGGCCCCAGGGCCCCCTGCAGGACTGTAGCCCTGGGAGTGGCATGCTGAGGCCCTTGGGGCCACCTCTCCTTCCCAGCCGCTCCAGGCCCGGGGGGCCCAAGGCCACGGCCCCTTTCCCACAGGACAGCCTCCCCCTCACCTGCAGCCCCCAAGCAGGGAGCTGGGCAGGCTGGGGCATTCCCCAGGCCCAGGGGTTGGTGGGTTTGGACCAACCGCCCAAACTGAAAGACCCACAGGCCCATCTCTGGGGCAGTGCGCTGTGCCCTACGGGGAGTACGAAGGGGCAGCAGAGCCCTGGGTGGAGCCGGAAACCATCTCCTCTAGACCTCAGCTCTCCCGGCCATCAGTGGACACGAGAATCACCAAAAAGTATTCCAGCCAGGGGCTGTCTCCAAGGGGTGGCCTGCTGGACCCAGCCAGGTCTCCCTGGCGCTGCCTGGACCCTCTCCCCACGGCTGTCCCCCGGCCTCGGGCCTTTGCCTGGCCAGCACGTCCTCTTTGTGGCCTCCAGAACCACCGCAGTGCCCCGTCCGCCCTCCCTGCTTTATTTATAGCACATTGCACCCTGCCACGTGCCCCACGGCCCACTCCTCCCCCGTGGCCACAGTCCCGCTCCCGCCAGACCTCTAGTGACGCACTGTGCGTGTGTTGTCCACAGTTGTCCCTGCGCTGCGTCAAGCAGGGGTTCCCTACGTGTTTGGGGTGGGAGGAAGGGAGGAAGGGCGTAGGGTAGGAGGGGAGGCAGGAGGCCAGTGGGGACGCGAACATTTCCTATCTGGTGATGTCACATGACCCCAACTCTCAGAGATTGGGAAATATCCAGATAATATTTCCTGTCTGTGCCCAGTACGGCCTTGCCTGGCGGGGGAAGTGGCCACACGTGGGCAGTTGCGTGAACGGGTGGCCCTCGCTAGCCCCCGAGGACCGTCTGCAGATGAGAACCGTCATGTCCTGGGATGTCCGAGATGCTGGTCCGGCGTGGTCCCAGCCCCGCTCGCTCTGTCCCTCAGGCATCCCGGAGATCAGATAGGGTCCCCAGCTGTGGGTGCGCTGCCAGAGCCCCGCGATGGGGGCCACGGGGGCAGCAGCCCACCCCCCACGCCCGCCCGCCCAGGCTGGCCGGGGCGGCACCTCGTTGTCCCCAGAGCTGTCTGGGCTCCTCCCCTGCCCCTCCCGCAGGCGGCCTCCTGATTCCTAACTTAATTTATTTTGACATCCTCGCTGCCGTTTGACCTCCTTACGGAGTCACGTGGTGCTTAAAACTCATTATCCCCCCATTGCAACAGGAAGTTAATTAAACCCTTCACAGAGCCAGTGTTGATGAATGTCAGGACGGGCCTCCGGCGGACCGGTGTGGGGGTGGGGGGTGGGGGGTGGGGAAGCGAGGCCGGGCCCCGGCAGGGGCCACAGACAGAATCCGGGTCCCCCTTCCTCCAACTCGGCCACCAGCGTCCATTCTGGAACAGAGCGTGTGGATTCCCCAAGGAGGACCTGGCTCGGCCACTCACCTGTTACATGGCCTCGGGCAACTGGCTTACTTCGCTCCTCTGAGCCTCAGTTTACTCTTCCGGCAGGTGGGAATTCTAACAGTCCCTTCTTCAGAACGCCGTTATGAGCAGGCACTGCGCTGACCTGTTTGTGCTCATCATGGCCCCGCACCAGGGAAGCCCGCGGCATGGCATGGGCATAAGGTGATGGAGCTCCGGGGGGACAGGAGAGACCGGGCCCTGCGAGCTGGAGCAGAGACAAGAGCCCGATCTTGTCTGGGAGCAGGAAGGGGCTTCCCTGGGGAAGGGTGCACCCGGCAGCAGGAACAGCTTGTGCAAGGGCCCTGTGGCCACAGGACATGGGAAGAGGTTCAGAGGAGAAGGTAGAATGGGGCAGGGCTGAGCCCAAGGCTATCACTAATGGCTTCTGGGAAGGTCCCACTGGCTTCAGTCTGCAGCAAGGGCAGCAGTGGCCGTGGGGGACCAGCAGGGTGGGCAGTGGCAGGGGGATGGGCATAGAGGCTTGGAGCGGGGTGGGGTGCCAGCCACCAGCTCGGCGCCAGGCTTCCCCCAGGCTCTGCACCTGCTCTTCCCTTGCCCTCCAGTCTTTCATGAGCATCCTCTTCATCCTTCAAGGCCACCTTAAGTTTCCAGAATATTCTGTGACTCCCTTGGTCATAGCCCGGAAACCAGTACAGGGCCTGGCACATGGGAGCCCGTTCCCCCCCGGCCCCCCACGACTGCCCAGCCTGGGGCAGCCCTCCTTGGGGGGCGGGGCAGCACAGCACATGCCCACAGCCAGCCAGCCCACAGGTCAGAGGGCAGAGGTAGACCAGGACATCAAGACCAGAGGAGCCCTGCGGGGTCACACCCCCCACCCCCACTTACATACAAGGAAACCAGAGACCAGATTGGGGTCAGGGTCGCACCCTCCAAAATGGCAGAGCCAGGATTTGGACCCAGTTCTCCCTGCTCCCAGGCCAGGCTTCAGCCCACAGGCGCTGGAGTTCGGCTGCCTGGGGTTGCATCCCAGCTTTACCTCGTCTGAGCTATAGGGCCACTCTGAGGCTCAGTGTCTTCATCACCACCACCACAGCCCTCCAGGTACTTAAAAACAAGTCTTAACGTGTCCCAGGCCCAGCTCAGCCACTTTCTGCGGGGGTGACTCTGACGTCCCAACCACCGGAGCAGAGCACAAGGACGTCGTGAGAAAATAGGAACCCGCCCGAAGGAAGGGCTCACAAAGGTGGGGGGCACAGCGATGATGACATCGCCCCTGGAGCCAGCACCCCGTCAAAGCCATGCCCAGGAGGCTTCTGGGGAGCTTTGCAACCCCAGTGGGCAGCTGCCCAAAGCTCAGATCCAGGGAGCAAGGAAAGCCAGGCTGCAGTCGGGCAGCCCAGCTCCACGTCGGGTTCTGACAGCCCTGCATGCAGGCTGAACGCAGTTCTGTTTTCTCCACCAGGGGCTTTTGGACGGGAACCCTGGCGCTCCTTGCAGACATGCAGGGGCAGGCGGAAACAGGTTCACAATGGGCAGCCCGTGGGGAATGGAGGTGGACACTCTCAGCCACCCCACACGCTGCTTCCCCTCTCCCACCTGATCAGGGGCCCCTGCAAAGCTGCACTCGCATGTCACCTTCTCCAGGCAGCGTACCCTGAATCCCCCAGGCAGAGGTGGTTGCTCCTACTCTGGGCTCACACAAGGCCTCCCTTTGGACAGGGTTTCTTGCTCCTTGTTCCTGAGTAGGTGCTCATCATCAACAGACCTCCCCCGAGGGGTAGCAGCCTGTACCAGCGAGGCCCTATGGCATTGCCGCTGGTCCTAAGCAGGCTGTGGTTTCCTCTTCTGGGGCCATGGGGTACCCCTCCACACACCCGACAGGGCAGATAGAAGGGGCAAAGTTCAGGAGAAAAGTGCTCCAGAAACAGCTCTGTCCTGGGTCAGGACTGTCCAGGCACTTCAGAGCTGTGTGACCCATGCAGGTATGTGGGGCTCCACACTTGGGAAGGCCCCGCGCTTGGTTTAATGTGCTATTTGGCTGCCCTGAAATTCTTAATTTTTAAACAAGAAGCTCTACGTATTCGTTTTGCACTGAGCCCCCCGGATGGTCGTCAGTCCTAGTCAGCAGGCTCTGTTCCTGACCCACCCCTGCCTCTAAGGCACTGGAGAGCTGGATGTGTCCTTCCCTCAGGGCCCGGGGTTTGTAAACCGTGTATGGGAAACAAGCAGCCAAAGTGACTCCTTCTCCTGCGGCCTAGACAGGCACCGCAGATGGGGCATGGCTCTCACTCCCCTGCAGACCCTCTGCAGCCTGCTCGGTGCAGGTCCCCAGCCATCTCAGCAGCACCCGCCCGGATGCCACCGGCTGTGCGTGGAGCCTCACAGCCCCCTCCTCTAGGGCTCCTCCCCCCTCCCAGGTCCCCATCCTGTAATGAGGCCCTGCTTTGGGAGTGACAACAAGGCCCAGTGGGAAGCCCAGACAGGTGGGGGGGCCTCATTCAGTTGACAAATACTGTGGGTATTTGTCTCTGGGCTGAGGGAACCAGCCAACCATGGCCCCCACTCTCCCCAGACAGGGGTGCTGGAGGAAGGCTGCCCCCACTGGCCCTGGGCAAGGAGCAGGAAGCGCGGGTGAGCCATGTGACCCTGGGCCAGGACCTTGGCCTCCTGGCATCAGGGTTCCCATCCGTCCAGTGGTGGATATGTGGACCTGGGTGAACCTCAGACTCCCGCTCTGCCCGCCACTGTCCTGCCCAGAGGCCCCTTGAGAGCAGGGGTGGCACAGGGGAGAGTGCCCAGGCTCCAGGGGTAATCCTTCTCCTCCTCCCTGGGGTGGGGGCTTAGCTAGCAAGGGTTACGTGGAGGGGGGATGTCTCATAGGCAAAGTGCACAGAACACAGCCAGCCCCTGAAGGTGACAGTTGTGATGATTACCTGCTGTCAGGTGGGTGGGTCAGCCGTCTGTCTGGATGGGCCACCCAGGTGTCTTTGCAAAGAAAGGTCTTCTGCTTAGCCACACTAAGCCTAGGCCGCACTCACCCCCTATTTCTTCTGAATATGGGACAGAGGGAGCAAGTACCAACCAAATGCAGGCCAAGAATATTAAAATAAAAGAATGCAATTCAACTTGGGGGCACAGCTCCTAAGGCTGTGTGACTTGAGCTGCCCTGGAAAATGGGGGGCCTCTGGGATCCTATGAACATATCCCAAAAGACAGGAGAGACAGTGTCCGTTTCCAGGGCTAGAACAGACAGTACTGACCCTGTTCCAGGCCGGGAGGGGACGCGGGTGTCCGCTCAGCCCATGGAGGGGCCTCCTCCCCGGGGCCTCCAGCAGGGGCAACTGGGGAGTCAGGGCCTGCCGAGGGGCAATGCCCGGGGTAGGGGGGGAAAGCTGCAGCAGGGACAGGATGCTGGCTTCCGCACCCTCCCCGACTTCCAGCCAGACCGGAGCCCAAGGGAGGAGGGCCCGAGGTCCCTGCTCTCCATTTGGGGGTCGCAGCCGCCGGAGGCGGCGGACCCCAGGAATGCTGTTTCCACCTCGGTCTCGGACGGAAGTCCCCACCCGGCCACAGCCGACTCCACACCCCAAATCTGACCCAAGACACTGCGGGGCGTCAAGGCCTCGGGCTTCCTGACCAGGCCCTTACTGCCCGCGTCCCTCAGGCGGAGGGGGCTGCCGTGGAGTGCAGGGGTCCTGGGCGGGGCCGAGGGCCTGGGGGCGGAGCCATGAGAACCCTGGGGCGGGGCGAGGGGGGGTGAGCAGAGCCAGGCGGGGTTAGGCTTGGGGGCGGAGCTAGCGCCGAGGGGGCGGGCCCAGAGCGGCCCGAAGCTCGGCTGGACCCAGTGCCGCGGGGCGGCGGGACAGAATAGGTCGTTGAATCAGAGCTAGGCCTGGGGACAAAGCTGCGGGACCGAAGGAGGAGGCGAAGAAGCCAGAGGTCTTCCCAGGGCCGGGGGCGGGGCCAGCGCC